GTGCCTGTAATCCCAGCTACTCAGGACTCTGAGGCGGGGAGAATAGCTTGAACCTGGGATGCAGAGGTTAAAGTGAGCCAAGATTGTGCCGCTTTTACTCCACCCCAGCCTGGGTGACAGAGCGAGACTCCATCTCAAAAAAAAAAAAGAAAGAAAGAAAGTAAAGAAAAGAAATGATTATCTTTTAAATGAATAGTTTTTATTCCACTGCTTTATGTCCAAGCTAGTAACAATTTCCATATCATGTTTTCCATAAATATTAGGGCCGTATTTTCAGAGATAAGGCTTTTTTTAAAAAAAATTATAAAAAGAACCACATAAGAAAAACTGGGAAATTGTATTAAATAATGACTGACATGGTATTTTGTTTTCACTTATGGAAAATAAGGTCATAAATTCCTGTTAAGAATTAACTTTTTCAAAATAATGCTATGGAGCAACAGTAACAACTAGTAATGTTCGAAGAATATCAGAAATGTCTGACTTGAACCGTGAGGACCTTCCAGAGGAACCAGACTTTCAGGGCAATTCTGTTTACACAGAAAATTCTGCCTTACTCTGTAAAGAAACAGGAACTTTTTAGCCCCTAGTCATTCACACCTAAAGAACTGCTTAAATCCAGGAGAGATGTGAGCAGTCATTCCCTGGGATGAGAGGCAAGAGCATCTTGCTGGTTGCAGCACTGCATGAAATTATTGCCTGATCCTGGTCCTTATAATCTGACACAATCGGCTGAGACTAAACCTGCGTTTTATCTGTGTGTTGATACTGTAGCCTCCCACATGGATTGAACATTCAGACATTAACAGTCAATCTGCTACAAAAACCACATCTCTATTCATACCCTTTGTCCAGTGTAGATCCAAAGCAAACCCAAGATTACCAGATAGACGGCAATTTTCTCATATTCAATGATGTGGTTTAAATATTGGCCTCTCTAAGCATGCGGCTACTCACAAGGAGACCCATTGATCCAATGAAACAGTTATTACTTCAGCTGCACTGACAAGAGAACTACTCTGGATATCATTAAATAAGAAACAGCAACACTTCAGATCAGGTCAACAGACAAGCAGGACTTCTGAGTTGCCACAGTAAGTGTAAGACACCTGGTGCTTATTAAAATGCAGCTTCCTGGGCCCCAGTTCAAGACTGCTATCCTACAGTTTCTAAATAGCTTGTTCAAATTCATTTATAAATGTTTCATATTCATATCTCAATTTTAGAAAGGATAGAGATTTTAAGGTAACTTGAGGGAGAGAAAGTCCTATGAATTAAACTAATTAAGTAAATATCTTGAGGAAAGTTAAATGATGTCTCCTAGCCTATCAGTTCAGCTCTATCTCAGTCATAGATATTAATTCATCTAAAAAAAAAAAGGATACCCTGGCCAGGTGTGGTGGCTCATGCCTGTAATCCCAGCACTTTTGGAGGCCAAAACAGGTGGATCACTTGAGGTCAGGAGCTCGAAACCAGTCTAGCCAAAATAGTGAAACCCTATCTCTACTAAAAATACAAACATTAGCCAGGTGTGGTTGTGCGTGCCTGTAGTCCCAGCTACTTGGGAGGCTGAGGCAGAAGAATCCCTTGAACCTGGGAAGCGGAGGTTGCACTGAGGTGAGATCGTGCCACTACATTCCAGCTTGGGTGACAGAGAAAAACTCTGTCTCAACAAACAAACAAACAAAACAAAACAAAACAAAAAACGCATGCCCTAAAGAAAGTGGCATGTTTAAAAGGGAAGTCAAAATAAGTAAATGCAGTCAACATACGCTATAAGAATAATTTTCAAAAAGGTTAAACACGACTCTCATACAAATAAAAACTTAGCAGATGTCAAAGATTTATAAAACTTACTAATGAGAGAACAAGTAGGATAGTATAGTATCCGGGTACAAAGAAGAATTTGAGACAATGAATATTTATTCTCAATGAAAAAGTTAATGTTAAAATATTATTACAAAGTTGTTACAAAACTTGTAATATCATTTAGGACAATAAAACTGTAATCTCCTGGGTTATCTTTTTACTGCACAGAAATCAGTTTTATCTGAACTGCACAAAAATCTACAAGTTAACATATAGCTTCACAGAGCCTTTTTATCAATAGGAAATAAGTCAAACAAAGGTACACACACACACCTCTAGAATCTAATAATTCCTGTATGGATATTTTACATATTTTAGTACATTTTTAAAATCTGAAGTCATTTTTGCCCTTGTATTAGTTTATTCTCACACTGCTATAAAGAACTACCTGAGACTGGGTAATTTATGAAGAAAAGATGTTTAATTGACTCACAGTTCCACAGGCCATACAGGAGGCACGGCTGGGGAGGCCTTGGAAAATTTACAATCATGGCGAAAGGCAAAGGAGAAGGAAGCATGTCTTCATATGGCCAGCAGGGGTGAGAAAGAATAAAGGGGGAAGTGCCGCACACTTTTAAAAACCAGATCTCGAGAGAACTCAGTCAATATCACAAGAACAGCAACGGGGATGTCTGTCCTCATGATCCAATCACTTCTCCAACATTCAGGATTATAATTCAACGTGAGATTTGGGTGGGGAAACGGAGCCAAATGATATTAGCCATTATTTCCAATTTTGACATTTTTTTTCTTAATAATGCCCAGCAATTAACCTGAACTAGATACTGAACCTGGGGATATGAAATATTTGGTCATCAGATTTTCTTCAGTGGATTAGAAACATTTTTTCAGACTTTACCATACCCTCAGCAAAATATCTCTCAAAAATATCTGTCTGTATCTGTTCTCCTTTTCTTGACATCTAATACTAATTATGGGTAAAGTATGGCATTTATCCAATATTTAACCTATTTCTCAGTTCCCTGTTTTGTAAAATTGAGAAAAAAAGAATACCTCTTTGGATGACTGTAAGATTAAATAAAATACACATGTAAAGGACTTATAATGTGCCTGATATATAGTTTTCAATATTTGTTGGTTCCGATTATTATTTTATATTATTATTGTTAGGATACTATTATTCAATCACAGCGTGGGATCAAGTCACACAAATTCAGAGTGCTCTTTGCACTGGCAGAGCAATATATTCAGAGAGTTTCCTGGAACATCAATTTCCTCTTATTAATTTGCTGATTCTCTTTTGATTCTTGAATGCTATGTCCCATAAACAGCCCATCTGGAGAACTGCTGACCACAGAGAGGACACCTTTACTATCAGTCTGGACCCATCATGCTGTGTACTCGTGTTTTCTCACTTGCCAGGTGTCACCTTACAATTTCTGTTATTCCTGCTTACTCTTCCCTATGTTTTTTAAATAAGCCTTTGTGTTTGATTTTGAGGCGCTTGCAGATTTCTGGGATCAGAGAGCTCTCCCTACTTGCAGTAGTGTTTGAATAAAGTCTCTCCTCATCTAAGTCCAGATTTTTATTGAATCCAGTATAGACTGTTATCTTATTATTTTCCTAGGCATATTCTTAATTAGATTGCATTCTCCAATGAATGCAATGAAGTAAATAATTGGCCAAATTAAACTCACTATTTCCCTTAATAAGTACCTGTTTATCTATCTTCTACCACCATCCTAAGATCCTAATAGTTTCTTCTTAAATCACAAAATTACTCTACAGTTTACTTTAAAGACATTGCACAGGACAAACTAACACTTTGAAACACCAGATTCCTTTCCTTTATGTAACTCCCTGAGCTTATACCACACATGGTGCAGTAGGATACATTTGTGCTTACTCTCTCTCTCTCTCAGGAAAATATGATGTTAATATTTCTTGAGCTCTGTTTCTCTATAACAATTTTTCTTCTTCCCTTTGAATTTTCTAGGTAGTTGGGAGCATGCCTTGGCCTCTTGGATTAGGGTATTCATTCATCAAACATTTACCCTGTTTGATAGGAACTGTAAATACTGTGATAAACAATGCAGGCCCTTGCATGGATATACAGAATTACAGAGAGCCCTGTGGTTTTCTGTATTATTCTAGTCTCCCTGGTATTCCTCTCTCTTTTAAAGTAACTACTATTGTACATTTTAAAGAAAATTATTAAGCTACTTCATAGACGTAACCCCAAGTAGTTCTTTTTGTCACTTCTCTTAAATTCACTTTTTCACCAACTGCCAAAACCAAATTTTTCTTGAGTTCCTATCTTTTAGTCATAAATGTAATATTGCCATGATTATTATTTAGGATTCCCAGGGATGCAAGAATCTAACAAAAAAGAAACTAACACAAAAGATAAACTGTTGTCTCACATATAGATTCAGTTAAAGCACAATCCAGGTGCTCAGATGTCATTAGGCATCTGTCTTCAAGTCTGCTCTGATTTCCTCTCTAACACCTTTTTTCTAAGACAAATCTCCCCACAATGAGATAAGAACAAAATAACTTCAAACACATATTCTGTAACTTGAGAAAATTTAGCTTTTCAGGTGTTCATTTTTTCAACTAAAGTTCTGAGATTGTCTGGGTCATGCATTTGCTGACAAGCTGTGATGCTTTCGTTAGCAAAGTCTGAATCATATGCTATTTTAGAGTCGGGGTGAGTGGGTTGTCATTAGCTATGCCAGAGCCATATAGAATAAGAGTGGGAAAGAGTGGGTTTCCATAGAAAAATATGTGTTGCTGTTACCAGAAGAAAGGCGGACAAGTTACCACCAAAACATGGGTATACCTAGTGGGTGCAAAGGGCCAAGAAGAGCCCAGAAGTGGGGGTTGCATGTTACTTTTGCCATGGCAGTACAGACAGGGATGGTTATGCCACTTCAAAGGGAGAGGCAATAATAATGGGTGAACTTCTGTTTTTCTTCCAGGCCAACATAAGTGTTTACACAAATATGGGTAACAGTGTCATCATCCAATGTAACAATATAAGAAAATTTCAGAAAACATAACCTTCATACAGACGTCTTGAGTGATTAGGATATTATCTTCACAACAGCTTTAATCCACAGTGATTTTTGTCGAGTTAGAAAGATAAAGACCACCCTTCCCCTTCTTACCACTTGCGTTGCTCTTGTTTATTCACTCCCAGAGTAATTTTCACTCCAAGGAACACTATTTAGGCCCTGTAGGGAACACAGAGAAGACTCTAATATGGCTCAGATACAGATCTACATATATGTATGTGTGTGCATGTGTGTGTATACAGACATAGCTCTCTGTCTCCAAGGAGCCAACAACTCACTATAAGAGATTAAATGGTAACGGTTCTACAAAAGCTATAAATCAGTTTCCAAATGAACCCAAAAGTGGAAATCAGGAAAGACTGTATGAAATAATTAATATTTGGAGACTGTGTAAAATTTTGAGACATAAAATTGAGTTAGTATAAGCAAAGGCAGAAAGATAAAGGCTGAATGTGTCTGCAGAACATAGAGCAAAGAAATGAATTTTGTTGGCCCAAAAGTTACATGTAGAACACTATTGAAGATAATTCTGGAAAAGTAGTCTAGGATCAAATTTTTTAAGACCCTCAATGGGATACCTGAATTCTGTGGAAAATGAGGAAATGCCAAATATTTTCAAGCAGATCACATGATGAAGGCAACATTTTAGAAACATTAATCTAAAACAATGGGTTCAGTGCTAAGGTGAGAACTAGAATTTGAGAAACCAATTAACAGTTTACTAGAGTACCTGAGGCTAGAGGTAATGGGAAACCAGAATAGACTGGTGACAGAAGAAATAAAAAGGAAAAGACAATACTAGAAACATTAGAGAAAAATTCAAAGATTAGGAACTCTTTCCATTTTTCTTAGGCAAACATATTGAATAAGAATGGTCTATTTGGGATATCCCTTTTGGATTTTCCACTCCTTACTTCACTGAAGTTTTGTCTTTATCCCTACCCCTAACCATTATTGGAAACAATTCTGTCCAAAATTTCCAATTCCTGTCTCACTGCTCAATCCAATGAAAACATCTATGGTTACTTTCTGGCTCTTTCTGATGCTTCAGACTCTCTGCTCTCTCTAACAACATTCATGACACCATATGCTCATCATTCTTATGTTTCTCTGAAGGATATTTCAATTCAATCACTTTTATACATGCTTTCTGCTTATGTCTTAGATGGCAGGATGACCTTACACAACTGTTGTCTGTTTGTTGTTATTATTTGTTTAACTCACTTTAATTATTTAAATAATTATAGGTTGCCAACTCTCCAATCTATATTTGTCTGTATTCTGAACACTTTTTAAGTTCTACATTCATAAATAACACTCCTAAACATATGCATTGGCTTACCACTAATACTTCATAATTAACAAGTCCAAAACTGAAAAAACTTCAAATTGCTATAAACTAGGTTTTTCTAATTTTAATCTAATCTCAATGAATAAAATTATCATACACTTTGTTACACAAGTCAGAATATGAAATTATCTTTGATTTATTCCTTTATCTTAAATGAAATAAAAGACTAAGACATGTTAATTTTATGTCCTAAACATTTCCCCAGAATAATCATTTCCATCATGTTTTACCTGGTAATTGCATAATTTAATAATTGGTACCCCAGAATCTTTTCTCAGTCAAATTAAATTTGTCCTTTACATAAAGCAAAGTGACCAATGTAAAATTTGGATCTCTTCACAACATCCCTTTCTTTAAATGCTTCAAAGACTCATTATTCCCTTCAGAATAAAATCCGAGGCCCTTAGAAGAACATATAACATCCTTAATGAAGTGATTACTTCTCTATACTCATGCCCAAGACTCATGACACACGGCTTAAATTGAACCAAGGAATTAAAAAGTAAGTGCAGTTCTTAAAGTCCATGTGCTTATTATTAAAATACTACTATAGTATGCAACTACACAAATTGATCACTTATTTTTCTGTCTATATTATTTAAATATATAAAACTGTTATTTTGGAAGGATAGTTTTCATAAAGTTATTTAGAATATTTTTCATAAAGTTATTCAGTATGACTTTCCTTTGATATTCATACTGAAGATCTATGTAACTGTTTGAAAGTTAATAATTACTCTGAATATAAAGTGCACAACTTTTATATGTATCATTAATTATTGCAGGATTATACTATTGCAATAATAACTACACAGTTTCCTTTAACAAAGATAGAATTTCAATATGTTAAGGACATAAGGAGATTTTTGCTCCAATGTATACTGGATACTTGCCTATGTTTAAAGTGAATAATCAGATTAACAATAAATCTCAAAGACATACATTGCTCACATTACTGAAAAGGCTATGCTGATTAAGTTTGATGCTAAACAACCTGACTTCATCATCATTTATCATGATGAGACTAAAAGTTTCAGAACCATTGTTGAAATAGTCATTCAGTAATTCAGTCTTCCTACGTCTGAGGCCAAAGCTGAAGTCAAAGTTCAGAATTTGGCTAACCATCAAGGCCAAACATAGCTGCGTATTTAGTATTTTATTCAGCATCAGTTCTAATAATGTTTCAGTGGAAAACATTCATATTCTTTGCCCTGGTGGAATTTACAGTGCAGTAGAGTAAGCAAACTACAAATCGATAAACAAATACAGTCTGTCCTCGTTATTCATAGATGCTGTATTTGCTAATTCATCTACTTACTAACATGTACTTGTTGACCAAAGTCAGTACTCACAATGCTTTCACAATAGGCTCACAGCGGAAAAAAATATGAGTCATCCAAAGCACATGTTCCCAGACGAGGTTGAGCAAGGTGACGCTCTGCCTTCTTTTTACAACTCCCATTCTGTAAACAAGTGTCCTTTTCATAGTCCATTTATTGCTACATGTTTTATATTTTTGTGCCTTTTCCTGGTGATTTTCTTATTTAAAATGGCCCCCAAGCATAGTGCTGAAGGGTTGTCTAGTGTCCCTAAGAGCAAGAAGGCTGTGATGTTCCTTAGGGCGAAAATGCATGTATTAGAACAGCTTCATTTAGGCATGAGGTATAGTGCTATTGGCCATGAGTTAATGTTAATGAATTAAATATATATATATATATATATATATAAAATATTTGTTTAATAAATATTTGCTAATTTGGTATTTGTGGGGACTTTGTAGATGATTAACTCAAATAAGGAGAACTGACTCTAAATAATCATATATTGTGCTAGAGTTATTATTCCTGGAAATGAAAAGGCACAGAATAATATTTTAGAAAATATTTGTAGAGGTAGATGTATGTTTAGAATTGGAGATAAGAAAAACTTTTCTAAAAAATTATAGGCATTACAGGCATACTAAAAAGGAAAATAAAATCTAAAAGATTTTAGGAGCCCAGCAGAGAATTAGATTAGTAAAATTTACATTCAAATGAAGGTAACGGGAATTTTCTCAATGCTTTCATAATTTCCTTACGAATATAAGGGTTGAGATAGATATATATATATGAACTGTGAGATAATTAGAAGTTACCTGCAGCCACAACTTGCCTGCCAACAAATTAAAATAATTCACATGGAAAAAGAGTGTCTTTCAAACTTATTAAGACAAGTGGAAATTCCAGCCACTACATTATGCATAAATAACCTAACACAGTATATACCACCTTGATGAGAATTCTGCTGATTATAAATATTATTATTATGTAAATCTACTAAAATGCAGTGGATTTAATGTTTCTTTAGGCTTTTTAATTTAGGATTGAACTGTCATTAAAACTTCTCATTTTATTTTTATTTTATATTAACTTTGATGAGTTCAACAATAAATGGTGAACTAGAACTCACCCATGCTTTCTGTAGTAGAGTTTCTTGTGAAACATGTGTGCCAGAGATTCATTCTGCTTTGATTCAAATCCTGGTTTAAGAACTTATTGACTGATGACCTTATAAACATTGCCCACAAAAAAAATCTAGAACCAAACATTGCTAACTGCTAAATAAATATTACCTATTATTAGTATACACTTTAAAAGCTTTTACCCAAAAAAGCATTAGGGAAATGTAATTAAAAACAAAATCACCTCCCAGTCCAGAAAACCTCTTCATAAGGGTAGAAGAGAAAACAAATTATTATTGAAAAAACATTCGGTCAGGCGCGGTGGCTCACGCCTGTAATCCCAGCATTTTGGGAGGCCAAGGTGGGCGGATCACCTGAGGTCAGGAGTTCAGTTGAGATCAGTCTGATCAATATGATGAAACCCCATCTCTACTAAAAATACAGAAATTAGCCAGGTGTGGTGGCATGCGCCTGTAATCCCAGCTACTCAGGAGGCTGGGGCAGGAAAATGGCGTGAACTCAAGAGGCCTAGGTTGCAGTGAGCCGAGATTGTGCCACTGCACTCCAGCCAGGGCAACAAGAGCAAAACTCTGTCTCAAAAAAGAAAAAAAAAAAAAATAGAAAGATAGGAAGAAAGAAAAAGAAAAAACATTCAACAAGAATGTGATGTGCATCCTAGGCAATCCTCTAGCAAACAGCAAAGGCTGAAAGAAAGCTTATCCTTTTATATTGTAAAGCAGATATAACCATTACAGGAAGGTTCTCAACATAAACAATAACTAGTCTTCAAGAAAATGGACATGGCAGCCCAATATGTCACTCATGGCTCATCCTAATTTGTCTGGAGATTGGGGAGACAACCTTTGTTTGCTAATTGGCTTTGTCCAATGAAAAATTAAACATCACATGCTTTATGATGAGGCAGTTTTGAAACTTGGACTAACTTGCCTAAGTTAGGCTCCTACCTTCTCACAGAAACTGGAAGATAGGGATGCTATCTCTCTTGATGTATACATTTCAAAGGGATGGTTCCCAGGTCCTTGAGAAAGGTATAAAAGCTGATAAGAAGCTTATTCAGCTTGTAAAAAGATTTACCTACATTTCAAAGGGACAGGGAAAGGCCTTACAAGTGTTCTAAAGCAAATGTTCAAGGAAAAGGGAGGAGGTGAGGAGTCTCTTCTCCTATTTTCAATAGAGATTTAAGCCTCTTCTTTTCAATTCGTATTTGCCCTTATAATCTCAATACCCATAAGAAAACCTAACATTCACATTTGTTTAAAAACTTGCACTGAAGTTCTACAGCATTCTCCTTTCTAAAAGTTTTAAATTTATTTTCTTTTCATGGTCCTGAATCTAATAATTGACCCA